AATTGAAAGGAAATTAAAAGTAAATTGAAATCAATTGAAAGTAAATTGAAAGTAAATTAAAAGTAATTAAATTAATTAAAAGTAAATTGAAATCAATTGAAAGTAAATTGAGATCAATTGAAAGTAAATTGAAATCCTTTCTTAAGTTGATTGACCAAAAAAATGTTGAGGGGGGGGGGCAAAAAAAAGTGCGAGTTATAGAGTATCCTCAATTTTTTTTGGGGGGGGCCCTCACACTAATCAGAGGCACACATTAATCAAAAATAATTATGCCCGCAAACCCTGCGTCTCGCTGTCGCTCAAAACGTCATGTTTCAATGTGCAACCATGCATTTCGTGAAGGCAAAAATTGTTTTTGTCCCACGTTCACGCCGAAGAAACTGCATTTTACCTTGCCACCAATGAATCGGAGCACGTTCATGTTGCATGGCAGGCGCAAGGTTTCGGAACCTTTGGAAAAATACCATCTTCATTTTCAATGGCAGGCGCGTGGGATTCTCGCCGTTTTTGATTTTTTGGGGGGTGTCATTTTTCCTTTTTTTCTGGACATGGAAGCGTAGTTTTCCTTTGAACTGTTTCCGCGTGACGCATTTTCCTTTTGTTTTTTATGTTATGTTGTGTTATTTTTGTTTTGGGGGGGTGGGTTTGGGGGGTTGGATGAGGTGGGTGGGGGGTGGGGTGGGGCGATAATAACCTTGTTAACGCACGTGTCATATTACGCGCTTGCAAGCAACCATGCAACGCCCCCTTGTGGGGAGTGGGGCGGGGTGGGGCGATAATAAGCTTCCTATGTTCATTTTCGCAATTTTCGTGTTACACTTGGACCTTTTTCATGTCCAATTAAACACGCTCTTGATGCTGCGCTCTTGACTTTTTATTTCAACTTGATCACACTCTTGATGGTACGCAGTGAACCTTTTGTTTTGTGTTTTAACACGCTCTTGGCGTTTTGTCAATTAAACTGACTAAACACACTCTTGATGGTACGCTGTCAACCTCCCTGTGCCCATCTTAACACACTCTTGGTGGTATGCTGTGGGCTTTCTTGGTTCCTGATTTAATACGCTATTGGTGTTATGCTGTTAACTTTCTTATGTCAATTTCAACAGTCACACTCTTGATGGTACGCATGCTCTTCATGGTATGCTCTTCACTGCCTTTTGTACCTGTAACAATTGCACGTTATTTTTTTAACTTCTGAGGTCATTTTCACACACTTTTCATGTTACACTCTTAACTTTCTTATGTCAGTTTAAACACACTCTTGATGGTACACTGTGGACTTTCTTTTGTCTATCTTAACACACTCTTGCTTGTACGCTGTTGACTTTCTTATGTCTATTCTATCTAACACGTTGCTGATTGTACGCTGTTGACTTTCCCTGGTTCTTTTTTACCAGGCTTCTCATGCTACGAGCCTCTCTTTCTTTTATTCTTTTGTATATTTGAAGACGCTTTGTGTATGTTAAGTTTCGAACTTTCTCATGTCTATTTCAGCACAGTTTTGATGTTACGTTCTTAACTTTCTTTTGTCAACTGAAACAAATTCTTGATGGTACTCTCTGGGCTTTCTTATCTCTATTATTAAAACACTCTGTTCGCGTTTCGTTCTTAACTTTCTTATGTCTACCTTGGCACGCTGCTGATGGTCGCAAACCATGCGTCGCCAGAACACAGTCGGACGCAATACCTCAAACCATGCCTTCCTGCAGCCACGTTGCACCGACAGCCTGGTCTCCAACAAATTTTGGGTTCCATTCGGCTTTACAGGAAGGAATGCACCGTTGGAATTGACAAAGTGTCACCTAGTGGCGCCTTGTCACTTCAATGCCTTAAACGGCTGCAATGAGCTGCAGCAAAAAGCCAGGCAGCTCGGTGCTTTCGACAAGAAATCTTGACACAGAGATCTGAAAAAATCCTCCATTGATTGACCAAATGTCAGAATTGCACACGGGATTCTGCAGGCGAACGTCTTACACCAACAGTTCTGGAAATGCAACATTTTGCTGTTTGAGGCGACGGCGAGGCAAAGGTTTTGCGCGTAATGATATAGACATAGATATATAATTATATATATATAATTATATATATATAATTATATATATAATTATATATATAATTACATATATATATAATTATATATATAATTATATATATAAATAAATAATTAAATATATAATTATATATATTATGATATATATATAATTATAAATATATGTATATATATATAATTATATATATAATTATATATATAATTATATATATATATATACCTATGTATGCAGATCTGCAGATTACATGCGTGTATGTCTACACTTATACAAATGGCCTGTTTCAAAACAGGTAGTACATATATGCGAAGCCGGTAGATGACAGAGGTGATAAAATCCCAAGCGATGTCTCAAATGGAAAAGCCGCAAGGCTCACACGTGTACTTCTTTATGCAAGGGCCAAATGGTCCGTCGAAGTCAAGATGGCTTGCGCGCCAGACTGGACATCAGTGGAGCATCATGCATGAGCTGTATAAATCACAGGCAGGCGGTCTAAATGTAAATGCGCCGCAGAGCCGGTCAATACCAAATGCTGAAACTCATCCCGTTCTGCATGGGCTACTCGTCGCAGGATCAGATTTTGAAAGTCCACTTGCGTCGCAGGCAGCGGAACCTTGGCCCTCCCAGCCACCCATGGGAGACGAATTTACAAAATCGGCGGCCATGTTTCCAGTGGCGACCCACTTGATTTGTTCCGCATCATATAGGCGTATTCGGTGCTGGTTTGTCATAGGGGAGCTCAAAGGCTGCCGTGACAAAAGAATTGCATCAAGGGCGCTTTGGGCAGGATACGATTGCGGATACATGCAATGATGGAAAAGACCCATTCTGGAACTATTGTCAGAGACATCCACTTTCACAATATAAAGAAAATATGTATATAATTGCATATATCTTTTAATACATATACAAATAATAACAAATATGCATAGATTGGGCCGTTGGGATCAACAAACACCCCGAATGGATGAAACCCCCTTCTTTCACTGTCCGGACACCATCTCGCCCAGGTGCATGTTGCTTTTCTTGAGCTCAAAGAGCTCCTGCCGCCGGTACCCAGAATGTTGTAAAGGCACCATGTTTCCTGTTGCCTCAAACAAATGGTGGGTTAACCAAAAAATCTGGGATGTAAGAAAGAAAATGATGGATCTTGATTGGGGAAATAGCGGGTTTTGACCTGTTTCGTATTAGGTCAATGATGGGAATTAAACCAAGGTTCCATGAAACATTCAAGGACTACACCAAGAAGTCCATGGCAATTCAATCAAAACCAAATACTCCGGCAAGAGACCACTAACAGTGTGGGGGGTAGGAAATCAATGTACCAGATACAAGCCACAGTAGCAATGGAACAGTAGCAAATGAGCTTAGACATGATCAACTGCAGCAGCAGGACCTTCTATGCAGGATTATATATAAAGAGGAGGTCACAAGATCTTCGTACAATAACTTCCCATGAGCATCCCAGAGGAACTTTCTTACAAGCACCAACGCAGAGGATACTCAAGATCTTAATGCAAGGACCTCTTGAGGAGGATTTCAACAGGATCTCCACAAGATCTTCGCACAAGGAATTTTTAAATAAATTGAGCAAGATGTGCATGCCAGGACCCCGAAGAGAATCTCACGAGATCGTCAAAAAAGAACCTGCTGCTGCTGGAGCGGACCTTACAAGATCTTGGTACAAGTCCTCCTACAAGAGCTTTCACGCAAGCACCTCTAAGACATGACACCTGCAAGGCTGTCATGCAAGGACCTCTTAGGGAGGACCTCACCAGGATCTCCACAAGATCTTCTGTTCAGGGCCTGTACAGGATCATGCAAGGACATCTTAGAGAGGAAGTTAGCAGGATCTCCGCAAGAGCCGGTTTACGCGAGAATTTACAATGAAAATGCCGCAGGCTCAAGGTTTCGGAACCCGCACCCCAGACATGGACGCAGTCGAGGCAGACATGGACGCATGTCGCAAGAGCCATTTTATGCGAGAATTCTGAAGGAAAATGTCGCGCCCCAGGACAGGGACAACAGTTTTTGTGTAAGCCTACGCAATGGACATGGACATGGACATGTCAGAAGAGTAATTTTATGCAATAATTGGCACGGAAAAAAGCCGGCAAACAGTTGGAGCACCCTGATCAAGCACCGGCCTTTACTCTTACCGTAAGAACCCCTCAGTGTGGACACGCTGTTTGGGGAAAAAAACTGGCTAGAAAAATGTCTCAGCTACAGGAGAAGCGGTTTAAAGTAATCAAGAATTGTGTTTGGTCTTCGCCCGAGAACCAATGGGAAGCCCAACTCAGAAAGGCTCGCTCGATTCACATACACATCAAAGGAAGAAATATGCCAGAGAGTGTGCGGAATGGGTTAGGTCACTCTGAACATGGCGTTGTAGGGGTATGATCAACGCACATGAGCAAGTTCATGACAATCGGCCCAAACTTTGGTTGGATGCACCTTCAAAGCAAGGTGTCTGTTCACTAGGACATGTTTCAACAAGTGCCTGAGCATCAACCATTACTACCAGCATCCGTGCTACCCAGATCAAATTCCGACGCCTGGAAGGGAACCTCAAGAAAAATATTTTTGGGGGCCGGTCTGGTACCACTTACCCATTCCTGACTGCTTCATCTATGGTACGTCTGGATTTGAGAAATACATGTGGGCAAATATCTCACAAAAGGATCTAAAGAGAGCATTTGGACTTGGCTCTTCAGCTTAGGCTACGCCCGGCTCCTTTTTTAGAACCACTTTACTTCTACCTCGTAAATGTTCTATTCATACTTGCTCTTCCAACCTCTAAGCTCTATAGGCAAGAAGAAGCGTAGCTGTTCCATTAATCTCATCCAATTAATTGGTCTCTAGTTTGGGATCTACAAATCTATGATTCCCATACAGAGGGAGCTTTGATGAGCTTCCCTATTAGGAGGAAGGGTGTTGTCAAGCGAACAGTTAAAAAGGGTAACGTTTTGACAAAAGCGTCGCGTCCTCATTGTCCATGGCCCACTCTTCAGCAATGTGAAACTCCACTTCATTCTCGGTCTCTTGTCGAATTTCCTGCAGCTCCAACGGAACCAAGGCAGTACCCTGCAGGTAACAAAAAACACATTACAACCACCGAGAAAGAAAAATCATATGTGCCGTGCCGTGGTCAAAGCATGGTATATGGGATATGGCCGCTCATCCAATAGAGGAATGTCAACCATCATCCGTACAGTATACTATAGTAAACCCTATTAAAACGGGGGAGAACCATCCCCAATATGGATACCTTCCGGTGTCGTCGAACGTGGCTATAGGTGCGAAATCCCCGAACTAAAATGAACATTTATAAATGGGAACATCATCGAACTAATGGTGATTTTCCAGCAAGCCATGTTTGATTCCCATTCCTATTCCCATAAATCCGATCAAATCTCCATCAAAATTGCCATTGCTTTCTAGCAAACCATGTTTGATTACCGGAAGGTATAAAAACCATAAACATCCATACGCCCTACTTGGAGGGTATATCACCATACTTCTAGGGGTAAGACTCCCAACTTATGGGCCTAAAATTCCGACAGTTATATCCATATGTTATATACTGGATATTCTCTGCTGGTTGCTTCCAACAGGGTCGGCGAAATCTTCAGATCTTGGGCCTTGGGGGTGGCTGAATCCTGTGAAAAATCAGGGTACCGAAGGTAGTATTCATCATGATAATATCATAATAGTATCATAATAGTATCCCGAATAGTATGATGAGTGAATTATCAAATACTATTTATCATAATGCTCATCTGAAAATTGCGGGCGATTTGGGGATGATGGCCGATGGCTTAATCATCATTCCAAGGGCCGGTCAGGACGTGAGGTCGTTATAATTTACCCAGAATTTAAGAAGGTATCCTAAAAAGGGTGGGCCCCCAAATCATCCAAGGTTACACCATTTTAGTATTTAAATCTATGGTGACTTGGGGGTCCCCCATTTCAAGAACCGCCCTTATGGTGTAATAAGCAGTGGGCTCGCCTGTGTCGCCAGGCACCCCCGATTTGTGGCAAGAAAATCAGAGGGGTGGGTGATAACACCAAGTAGGTGGACATAGATTGGGAAAAAAACTCAGGACAGTAGGGTTGTCAAAAATTGAGTGATTCAATACTTGGTGGCTCACCCCACTTAGTAGGTGGGCACTTGTATCTAGACTAACCCTACCTACCCTACTTAGAACTGGGTTTACTGCCCACGTACTACAGACATAGGGAAAACAACAACATCCTGTTGGGGGCGTATTACAAGTCCGAAAATATGCATAGTAATGGTTTATGCCACAGAAAATCTGACATGTAAAGCAAGAAATGTAAATGGTATTCTAAACATGCCAAAAGCAAAAACAACAATGCATATATGTAGAATATATGTAAAACAAAAAACATAAACAATGCCCAATACATAATTAAGATACCACCAGTAATATATGATGTTAATTGTCAATTGCCATTTAAATTCATATTGCAATCTGTCAAACTATACGACAACAAATTGCAAAGTAGTTTCGCCAAAAAAAAGTAAACAAAGATTGTAATTTAACCAAAACCATGCAATGATTGAAACGTATAGTACAACATGCTTTGTTGAAAAACAAAGCATAGACAAAGCATAATATGGAAAAAAAACTGATTCAAGAAACACACAGCCTAATAATAATCAAACCAAGATAAACAAAACAAAAGCTAATCTATGAAAAGGTGTAAAATAATGTACAATGTTTTCTGTGTATGCAAACATGAGTGCATCTATCTATCTATCTATCTATCCATCTATCTTTCTATCTATTTCTCTATCTATCTATCTATCTACCTTTCTATTACACATACAAAATACACCACGCACGGAGCACCTCCTCCATGTCATTCTTTGCCATGATCGCTTGGCTAGCCAATTCGCTCACGGACCATGCCTGGCGCCAGGATATGCCAGGATATAAAGAGCAAAAAGATATCAGTGAATCTTAGCGATATATTCACATACCATGTCAGTGTGATATCACCATTCACGAAAATTAATTGGTTCATTGATTCATTCAGTCAGCTGTGCATGGATTGCTGCATGTCATGTCGTTGGCATTTCAACAACCGTTTGCTCATTCGCTGATGCATCTCACAACTGCAACACTTCGTTTCTTCTGCATCTCAAAAGCTGTCCTATAGGCTATCTTCTTCGTATAGTTGTTTCATTTCTTTCGAAACTTCCGCCCCGGCACGTGCTGGGCTACCTGGTAACGATATGCCCATGACACCCCCCGCCCAGTATCTCCCTATCAAATCTCACAGTTGTGCTGTCAACCGCGGATTGATAAACACTGACTGTTCATTGGGATGCGTACCTTCACAATAGAGATAAAATTACTAAGAACAATGGAGCCGCGTTATTAATAAAATCGTGGTTGATGAATCTCGTGGTAACATGATCTCTATTACAACCCCATTAATTGTATCTCCATTAGGAAACCAACCCTGGATTTATAAGCCTGACTGTTAATTCGGGTGGTTGTCACAAAAGTAGCATCAACCTTGGTACCACCTTCTTCTCTAAGTGGTAGCTTACTGATCCTGAGATAAACTGAGCTTATCTCCATTATTCTGTCTCCACTATATCCCGATTAGGTCCCCGTTCTATCCCAGTTTTCTTCACATGAGAACCCCTATTATGTCACAAGTGATCACCATCATATCAACAATGATCACAATTATATCACCACTAAACCAGCATTTCCATTGGATACACATTCGCCCACCGCGTCACCGCATACGCACTTGACTCTGCCTTGGATTCCTTTGAGCTGAAGCGCGCATCCACGTGGAACTGTGACGGTGCCTTTTAGGAACAAGGTGAGACCCCTGTGATCTGAGTGATGTGAGCATCGGTTGATAATGGTTCATAAAGCCAGTAACTCGCGGAAATATATCTACAATAAACCATGGTTAATCTACGTTAATCCAGTCAACTAAACCATAGCTTACCAAGGAGAAGATGCCCCCCCAAAAGATCCATCATGTTTCATGTTTCACATTAGATTCCCCACATCAAAAAACACAATTCCAATTCCGTACAGGTAGGAAAAACACCGGTGATGAAAAAACAGGCCTGGAAATACATGATTACTATTGACCTTAAAAAACACCATACTCGATTTTCCTCCATCAACAGGATTATCATTCAACCAGGTTATTTCAATTATATCCAGTACATCCCCATGATATCCCCACAGTATCCCCTGTTTATACCCATTATAATATCAACCCCGGATTAAGAATCCTTGCCTCTTGATTGAGGTGGTTACCCCCAAACAAGTGATAAATCAATAATCTTTAGGTATGGTACCACCCGAGTAGATATATTTTTTTTAAGTTGGTTTATAAACCTGACTGTTTATTCAGGTGGCTACCGGAAAATAACAATAACGTAGGATATTGTAGTATCAACATTGGTACCACCTTTCTCTTAAACTGGTAGCTTATGTGTCCCAGTTTACTTCACACGAGAACCCCTATGTCCTATTATGTCACCAGTGACCACCATCATATCAACAATGATCACAATTATATCACCACTATACCAGCATTTCCATTGGATACATCCACACGCCCACCGCGTCACCGCACACGCACTTGACTGTGCCTTGGGTTCCTTTGAGCTGAAGCGCGCATCCACGTGGAACTGTGACGGTGCCTTTTAGGAACAAGGTGAGACCCCTGTGATCTGAGTGATGTGAGCATCGGTTGATAATGGTTCACAAAGCCATTAGCTCGCTCGATATATCTACCAGTAGTATTGCACAAGAAGCTATGGGAGAGGTGAGCTGTTGTGATGCATGGATGGCAGCGCGAATCCAGCGATGGTACCGAAAGGTGGCTGGAGTTGCGCTTTTGGAGTGGTTGCAGTGGTCACCTCACCCACAACTGCTGGATGTAGTGTGGCATAGTGTAGTGCAGTTGAAATTGTAGCTCTATAGGTGTATTTGTAATGTAGCGTAGTGTAGTGTAGTGTAGTGGTAGTCGTAGCTGTAGTGGTAGTCGTAGCTGTAGTTGTAGTTGTAGCTATGGTTGTGGTTGTGGTTGTGGTTGTGGTTGTGGTTGTGGTTGTTGTTGTTGTTGTTGCTGCTGCTGTCGTTGTAGTTGTAGTAGTAGTAGTTGTTGTTGTAGCTGTAGTTGTGGCTGTAAGTGTAGTAAGGATAGCAGTAGTAATATGTAGTAATAAACATAGTAGTGGCAAAAGTAGTTGTAGTAGTAGCAGTAGTAGTAGCAATAGCAGTACCAGCAGCAGCAGTAGTAGTAGTGGTAATAGCAGTAGAAGTAGTAGCAGTAGAAGTAGTAGTGTTTGTTGTAGTGTTTGTTGTAGTGGTAGTGGTAGTGGTAGTTTAGTGGTAGTGGTAGTGGTAGTGGTAGTGGTAGTGGTAGTGGTGGTGGTGGTGGTGGTGGTGGTGGTAGTAGTAGTAGCAGTAGTAGTAGTAGTAGAAGTAGTAGTAGTAGTAGAAGTAGTAGTAGTAGCAGCAGTAGCAGCAGCAGTAGCAGCAGCAGGAGGAGTAGTTGTTGTTGTTGTTGTTGTTCTTTTTGTTCTTGTTCTTATTCTTGTTCTTGTTGTGTCGTGTGGCACGGTTGAACGTTTAAAAGTGGTCCAAAAACGTTGATTTTCCCACCTTTTGACTTCGAAATGTGCTTTGCACCACTACCGCGGGCACTTTTTCAGCAATCTCCAAAAGTTGTCCGAACATGTGATATTTTTAGCATTTTGACTTCGAAATCGTGATCGTGCCACAACGGCGTGCCCTCTTTCAACATCTCAACTTCCAAAAGTGCTCCGGAGCTGAACATGTTGACTTCGAAATATGCTTTGCTCCACAACCTCGTATCTCAACTTCCGAAAGTGCTCCGAATATGTGTGTGATTGTGTGTGTGTGTCACTTCCACATGTGCTTCGTGCCGCAACGGCGTGCACTTTTTCCACATCTCAACGTCCCAAAGCTCTCCGAGCATGAAATGTTTTTGACATGTTGACTTCGCAATGTGCTTCGCACCACAACAGCATCCCATTTTTCATTTCTCATCTCCCAGATGGCTCCGCACCTGCCGCTTTAGCGAGCATACTTTTTGACCCTCCGCAAGACATTGGACAAAACAGTGTTTGGCGACTTTTCTACCTTTTCGAGCACCTGCATCTTTTTCTTCTGACTCTTTCTCTTTTCTGCCCTTCTTTCTGATGACTCTTTATCTTCTCTGACTCTTACCTCTGCTTTTCCATATGTCCAAATTGCCGGAAGTTTGACTTCTAAACTTCCTTCGGCCACAAACTATATATAGTTGATCTATGAAAATACAGTGAACTAAACCATAGTTTACCAAGTTAATATTTGCAGGAGCAGGTGCCAGCAACACGATAAAAAGGAATAGAAAAACACATCCAGGAACCTAATAAAAACACATGGAAAAAGAAAGCGCCATTTGAAAGCACCTGGGAACTGGAAACACCTCATCTGGGCCTTGACATCCTTTCCCATCCCCCACGTCGTATTCCAAGGCACTTTCACCGATGCCGACGGTCCTGGAGTCGATACCGCGCGTTTCCGTCCCCTTGGGGAGCGCCGCCCAGGCATTTTCTCACGCGTGGTAGCTGTGGTGGCATAAAGGCTCCATGTCCGATCTGAGCCGAAGGATTGGTGGATATTGGTGGATATTGGTAATTTTTACCAGGAAATGAAGACATTTTCTTAACATACTGTAACCCAGATTTGGGGTGGTAATATTAGACGCAACGCCCACCATTTGCCCCACTGATGATGATGATGATGATGATGATGTTGTTGTTGTTGTCGTTGTTGTTGTTGTTGTTGTTGATGTTGTTGTTGTTGTCGTTGTCGTTATCGTTGTCGTTGTCGTTGTTGTTGTTGTTGTTGTTGTCGTTGTCGTTGCCGTTGCCGTTGTCGTTGTCGTTGTCGTCGTTGTCGTTGTCGTCGTTGTTGTTGTCGTCGTTGTTGTCGTCGTTGTTGTGGTAGTTGTTGTCGTTGTTGTTGTCGTTGTCGTTGTCGTTGTGGTTGTTGTTGTTGTTGCTGTTGTTGTTGCTGTTATTGTTGTTGTTCTCGATGATGATGATGATGATGATGATGGTGATGGTGATGGTGATGGTGATGGTGATGATGATGATCATGACGATGATGATAATGATGATCCCGTCGAACTCTTCCAGAAGCGGGAGTTGATCGTAATATTACTTCTTCCTTTTTGTTGGGTAAAGGTGGTTCAGCCATCCCATCTGTTCTTGTAGGGGATCGGTGAAAGGCCCCTAGCATGTCTACCCAGACCCTCCAAGTACCTATTATGAAATAGGTGAAAGTATCAAACATGCGGAGCAAAATACCATGCTTTAATCATTTTTATAGGTACTGGGAGAGTCTACTTCGTGGCTCACCCCACTTGCTAAGTAGGTTATACCTCTGTTTTTTCAGTGGGATAAGTAGTGTTAATCCACTGACACCTGGGGTAAACTAAGCTACAAAAACGATCCGTGGGATGAACCACCAAGTACGTACCCATGAAATATATCCCAGTACAACTAGGCTATAACCACCAGTTTCAGTTGTGGCTATTAGGCATGCTTTGTAGTGGCGGGGTATATCACCAATCATGGAACGATGGGATGATGCGGAAATATTCACTACGACCCCCAAAAAGACAATTTCATCAGAAAACAGGGAGCATATTCAATGGCCATCCCAGGAACCCTAATTGGAGGTACCTACCATATATAAGGCCTATGTAAGGGCTATGTAAGGGGATATACCCCCAAAATATGGTCCAAAATATGGTACTAACGTACCTCCATTTTAGGATCCTGGAATTCCCATTGAAATATGCATTGCCAATCTTAGATACCCTGCAAAAAAAAAAATCTTTGCTGGTGAACGTAGATATTCCCATTAATACCTTAAAAGACTAGTTAGGACCTAGTATGCTACATTTCTTGTATTTATCATGTACCCTCTGGTAAACGTTTACATAGCTATAGAAAATCACCATGCTATTAATGGGAAAACTCACTATTTCTATGGCCATTTTCAATAGATATGTAACAAATTACCAGAGGGTACAAATTAAAAAGTGAAAGATCCCCATCCATTCCAAGGGGCACCGCCTTGATTTTCCAGTGGGGGTTCTCTTAGGAATCAGGTACACTTTTTGGGGGATGGGATACGAAAACATTGCATAAATTGGTTCAGATACCACTTGTCAAAACTATGATTGATTGAATCTTACTTGATTTTCAATATTTGAACTGGTTGGTGGTTGAGCCACCCCTCTGAAAAATATGAAAGTCAGTTGGGATGATGACATTCCCAATATATGGAAAAATAAAACATGTTCCAAACCACCAATCAGATTAAGGGAACACAAAAATCCATACCATATCCCAGTGATGAAATATTTTCAAAGCTAGTTAGTTTTCACTCAACAGGACCACATCACCCTCTACCCTCCGTGCAAAGTGGTGTTTCCAGTTGTGGTCGTTGGGCTATAAAACCATTGTACTACAGATATATAGTAATGCAAACAGAAAAGGATAGGAAAACAATCTATCACTCGTTTCTTCGTTTTTTTCTAACACCTTTTTGGAGGTTGCTATGTTCACAGTCTTACGAGGTGGTGCTCGATGTGAATGTTGGCGACAACCATAGTAACTAGTTCGATTTATATATATATGGGTAAATTATAATATTTCACTAACCTGAATAGTTCGGCCATTTGGAGATGATTTCCCTTATTAACCATGATTCCAGTGAGGTCGCAGTGAGGTCGTTATAATTTACTAATATGCATCTATCTATCTATCTATCTATCTATCTGTCTGTCTGTCTATCTATCTATCTATCTACCTACCCTAAACCCGACAGTGAAAATGGATGAAATTGGAGTTATGCTCACCAACTAAGCCAACTATATATATAATATGTGCCCACGGTTATGGGGGTTATATCACATTTATATCACATTTATATCACATTTCTATCACATAAATCACAACTTATAAGGGCACAACCCTTATTGTTACACTAATATTCACAAGCCCTTTACCCGATGTGGCACGCCTCTCGTCAAGGACGGCCCGCTGCTGCTGCGAGATGTTAGGGGCAGGGGCTCGTCCGACATTTTCGAGGACAGCAGCGCCACATCGGCATCGTAGATTTCGCAGAGATGCTGCTGCAGCTCCTCCGGCGGGCCACAGAATTCCCCCAGAAATCAGGGTTGGGTAAAAATGGTACAGGCTGATGGCCCTTTAAATACCAGTTATAAGTGTAACCCCATTTATGGTTTATGTATACTCCCATAGAAAGAACCAGTTACAACTATAAATGGTCATAATTGTGGAATATTGTAGATATAGAAAGAACTACCGCTCGACTCTCCGTTTGTACCCATCAAAATTGGTATTTTACCCAGTTTAAATACGTACGTTTACCTATTTACATAGGTACTAGGGTCGAACGGTAGTTGCTAAAGGTTTATGAATCAACATTCACATCACTACGGGGGCACCACCTGCGAAGCGACATAAATCTATGATGGAATACTGGAGGATCATCTCACTGTCCCTGGGTTAAAAACTATGGGTCGCATGGGATTCTAAACAAAACATTTTTGGCGGCGAACTACCCACCTCATCCTAAGACTAATTCTCTGGTTTTTGTGGCTAAAATAGTATCAATGGGAATTCCAGCCAGGATCCTAAAATGGAGGTACGTTAGTACCATATTTTGGGCCATATTTTCTGGGGATATTCCCTTACATAGGCCTAAAAAATAGGCCTTATATATGGTAGGTACCTCCAATTAGGGTTCCTGGAATGGCCATTGATAGTAGGCCTTTTTCTCTACACCTGGAGCTATAACCTAATTTTCCGCTCCGTGGGATGAACCGCCAGGTTTTAACCACTACTTGGTGGCGAACTACACACGAATCGTAAGTGGGTTATAACCCCAGTTACCCTCTGGTAATTAACATAGCTATTGAAAATCACCATTTATAGTGGATTTTCCCATTAAAACTGGTGATTTTCCATAGTTATGTTAGTTTACCAGAGGGTATAAGTGGATTAACCCTACTTATCCCATTTATAACTGGGGTTATAACCCACTTACGATTCGTGGGATGGGCCACCAAGTAAACAATATTATTTCATGGTTATTACTTGGAAGATCATCCCTCCAGAGGATCTGCTGGGTGAACTAATCTTGAACTAAGCTATGGATCCTCAGTGGGGTCACCAAGCCCATAGGATCCATGGTGCTTCTATATATGGGAACATTTACCATAAATATCATCCCAAATGTTAGCATATATACCATACATGGATCCTATGGGAAGTATTAATGTGACAATAATCATGGAATAGTATGGAATAGTCATAGTAGTTTAGTGGTTAATAGTCATAGCATTCAGCCAACGTAAATAGGGTTTCAAATCCTAATGTGATATACAGCCACTAAATGATATATGGAGGAACATATAATAGTGGGCAAATTCATGGGAATATACAGGATAATCATTCATGAATGGAGGATTTGGGGGTGCAGTTGCGATTATTAACGGGAATGATTAAGACTAAATTAAGTATAGTAGATATATAATTAAGTAGCACATTGTACACAGAGCTCAGATCATCACTAATTTCTAGTAGTGGCCCCAAAAGGTAATCTTCACGATCCATTGGCATCATAGGTGCATTCCGTTTAGCAATTTTGAGCAGTCTTGACAACTCTTGCGCGAGAAAACAAAAGCCAACTCTACTTTCAATGACCTTTTCTAGGTGCACTGAAAAGTGTACCCTCCGGTAAACTAACATAGCTATGGAAAATCACCCTTTTATATAGGTAGATCATGGTAGATCAACTATATTTGGCCATGTTCTATAGCAAACTGTAAACGTTTACCAAAGGGCAATTCTTGATATCTTGGTTCATCTGGTGGCCAGAAACTACTCTCACTACAAGTCGATGATCTGTGTGCCACCTATCCTGGAGTTCCACCCCATATTTCCATATATTTCCCATATGTCCCAGGGATCCCACATGTTTTTCTCCCAAGTTTCCCTATAAGTTTCCCATGTTAGATCTCCGTTTTTGGTGGTTAATTCATATTACTGGGGTGCATTTAACATAGTCAAATAGTCATCACCTATTTTCAGCAATCTATAATAAGGATTAGATCACATACTAAAACCAAGCGCTCGGTAGTGCACTGCTAAGGTTGGATCATACTAAAACCCAACAATTGGTATAGGGGCTGTTTTGAGGACCAAAAAGAAACAATCGGTAGGGCTCCTGGCTGTTCAAAAGGACTTAAATAAAATCAACCATCGGTCTGTTTTAAGGATTGTAACAATTCTAAAACCCAACAATCGGTAGCGCTCCCGACTGTTTTAAAAGGACTAAAAACAAACAATCGGTAGCGCTCCCGACTGTTTTAAGGACTGAAAACAAACAATCGGTAGCGCTCCCAACTGTTTTAAGGACTGAAAACAAACAATCGGTAGCGGTCCCGACTGTTTTAAGGACTAAGGACAAACAATCGGTAGCGCTCCCGACTGTTTTAAAGACTAAAAACAAACAATCGGTAGCGCTCCCGACTGTTTTAGAGACTAAAAAATCTAAAAACAAACAATCGGTAGCGTTCCCGACTGTTTTAAGGACTAAAACAAACAATCGGTAGCGCTCCCGACTGTTTTAAGAATTGAAAAAAAACAAATACAAATGAAAATCAGCATCATGCTGTTAAGATAATCACCTTGGCCAGGGGGGGGTCTGTCAGACCCCCCTCTGGCCAAGGTCGGGAGCGCTACCGATGTTGGCTAGCCTCCCCTTTATTATCTTAAATGCACTTGTAATTTTCACTATTTTGGGCTGGCCAAGGTCAAAAGGCATGCCCCATACTACGCAGGGGGGAGGCTGGCCAAGGTCGGGAGCGCTACCGACCTTGGCCAGAGGGGGGTCTGACAGACCCCCCCCTGGCCAAGGTGACTATCTTAACAGCATGATGCTGATTTTACATTTATTTATTTTTTCAATTCTTAAAACAGTCGGGAGCGCTACCGATTGTTTGTTTTTAGTCTTTAAAACAGTCGGGAGCGCTACCGATTGTTTGTTTTTAGTGCTTAAAACAGTCGGGAGCGCTACCGATTGTTTGTTTTTAGTCTTTAAAACAGTCGGGAGCGCTACCGATTGTTTGTTTCTAGTCCTTAAAACAGTCGGGAGCGCTACCGATTGATTGTTTTTAGTCCTTAAAACAGTTGGGAGCGCTACCGATTGTTTGTTTTCAGTCCTTCAAACAGTCGGGAGCGCTACCGATTGTTTGTTTTTAGTCCTTTTAAAACAGTCGGGAGCGCTACCGATTGTTGGGTTTTAGTATTGTTACAATCCTTAAAACAGACCGATGGTTGATTTTATTTAAGTCCTTTGAACAGCCAGGAGCCCTACCGATTGTTTCTTTTTGGTCCTCAAAACAGCCCCTACCAATTGTTGGGTTTTAGTATGATCCAACCTTAGCAGTGCACTACCGAGCGCTTGGTTTTAGTATGTGATCTAATCCTTATTATAGATTGCTGAAAATAGGTGATGACTATTTGACTATGTTAAATGCACCCCAGATTAAATCATATTAAATCCCTGTAATTGCAAATCTTAGATACCATGCAAAAAACGTCATTCTTAGCTGGTTAGTACTAGTAGGTATCTATTGAAATCGCAAAAGATTAAAGGATTATTTTCCTATCCAGTTGGTTAACAATAATGGTTCGCCATTTATGAGTTCTGTATGGTTGTCATTAATCTTTATCTATTAACAATTCCTAACCATTCTCAACTATTATTATCATTATTACACCATGAAAATCAATCACCATGAACCATTTAATAAAGACAAACATATGTTTCCCGACTCTTCAACTATTTTCAACTTAAATAGACTCACCATCACTACATTTGTTTAATAGATTAACATAGATTAACCATTTTTCATCACTACATTTCCAAACATCGGCGTTGCTCCCGCTCGCATCACCTTGATCATGGTCAGGACCTCCAAAAAACTGTGCTGGCGCTGGGGGCTGTTACTCCTGGACGGAGAGCGCGGGGGGGCCCTGGGCCGCAGCAGTGTAGCGGCTGATGTTACCTATACAAAAATATGGGGACAAACATGGAAAAAATCTCAAAGTATATCAAAACCATGGAATGAAATATGATTCTTATGGGTACATACTGAGAGTCTGACTAGTTTAGGGATTTTGGCAGCGCAAATCCAATCGTTGGCTTGTTTTTTCTACAACCGATCGTTTGACTGAAAATGAATTATACCTCGAATTTCAACAGATTATCATCCTTTTACCAAATGCAAATTGTAATTTGTGGGCACACTCCATTTGGAAAGCATCCCATAGCTTCCATTAATGTGTTTGACGACTATGTCAATGTCGATTAGATGATCGATATTGGCCAAAACACGCTTTGCTTCGTTATATAATGGAAACCCAGAAGATGTTTATGATACCCAGATGCGAAGCATGTTGCTGGTATATTTACCTACAAAACTGGGTCGTTTTGTTCGGGCAAATGTTGGTAAATATTCCAGCACCATGGTTCGCATATGGGATACTTTTCACCAATTGCCGTCTATCAAACACATTAATGTTTTGCATTGGCTCGTATAACAGGACACTTCTTCAAAAAGCTTTCCGCTCAACAAAACCGCTTCTCCCAAAACAGGGGATATGGGCCCCCAAGAAATTTCATGGTGAATCTTATATGCAAAAAAGAAATATAATTATATTTTTTAGCTGGTTAGTACATTTTACCATGATAGCAAAAAAAATCAAGTGCTAGTTGGTATCTAACCAGTCGGTTGATCCAATTTTCAGAAAGGTCAGTTGCCCATCCACTTGGTTGAAATCGCGTTCGCTTTCCCCTTCCGGGGGAACCTTTAAGCGGCACTTAAAACTACATTAAAAAAAGGGACTACTAATATTTGGCTCAATGATTTCCAATCAATAGTGTTCCTTGAACCAGGCTCTTTCAGCCCGATTGACAAACAGAAAAACACCAAACATGGCCCATATGGGATTGCAACATGTGACATGGAATGAAATCTGGCTGCCATCGACCCGAACATGATGATTTGTAAGATTCGTGGCCAATCTTAAGCGTGTGTGTGTATGTATATATATATATAATTATGGATATAGATACCTATAGACTCTCCAAGTACCTATAAAAAAATAATGTTTGTACCCCATAGTTTTAGTATGTTTACCTATGACTCATGACCTGTATATCCTTTATAGGTACTTGGAGGGTCTAGGTATATGCTAAGAAAAAGCCGAGCAGTTCTTCACCGGCAATGTTGCATCCTTATTAGTACCTGGCTCGCTATTGTGGCTAGAAATTTCCAAACTATTCAGCACCCCTGATTAGCTTTTCCGTTTTAATTATTGTGGCATTTTTTTTTGGCAGGTTATTTCTTTCTTATAAATAAAGTGTCTTTTATCGGAATTATCTTTACTATTTTTCCCCAGCGTTAGCTTAGAGGTCTCAGCCGAGAGGTTCGGTGCAGCTTCCCAGGTTCTGGACTGCTTCGTGGGGCAGGTTCCGGGCTTCGGGCTCGTTCCAGGAAGGTCCGGACGGTCCGGATTTATTGCACCTTGTGTCAAGTGTGTGGGGCGTGTTTCTCCATCTTCTCGGCACGGTGCACGCGCACTCACACACAGATATAACATATATATATGCAATTTTATGCATACATTGCATTTGTTCGAGACAGGTTTGGGCCTAGGGTTTGTTTAAACGCTTTAAACAGCCTTTTGTTTAAACATCGTTTAACCGAAAATGTTTAAACCAATCCGGAGTAGTAGAAATGTTTAAACATGTTGAAATAAATTCCGAGAGATTGTGGACCCAATCGCATGAGATCATGCGCACTTGCAGAATCAAGCACTGAGAAATCTGCTGCTAGTGACACTACCCTGGTGTTTCTTTCTTGCTCACCCGTCCTTACTACTCAAATCACTCATTATTACAATTGAGTCTTCCCGGCCGCCAACTTTCAAATGTGGAAATCTGTTTTATTAACCGTGTTTAAACAGGTGTTTCAACATGTTTAGATGTCAAAGCAAGGTCACAAGATCCAAATATCAGCGTTGCCGTCTCCAGAATCCGATGTTTATATGTCAGTGTCAGTTTGTTAACATATGGACCCGAGTTTTAAACGTGTTTAAACAACGTGATGTTTAAACGATTTCATGTTAAAACATGTTTGGAACGACAGTTTCAGATCAAGCCGCGGCTTGATCGGGTTGCTCACTAGCAGCTGTGTCCACGCCTGTCCGAGCCCTTTGCTGTTGGGGATACCGCCTCGCTTTCTGAAAAACAAATGTTTGATAATGTTTGTCTGCCTTTCCTAAAGGATCCAATCTCTTATTAAAGCCTTTTTGAAGAACAACACCTGAACAAATGATCAAGCCATGAGACCATGAGAGGGTCCAGTTCACTTTAGTAGGCTTGTTGCCTAGGTTCGGAATTGCAGACAACTTTTCCTGAGGTGATCCTGGAGCCAAGAGAAGAAAGAACAACCTTTTACAACCGTCTCTTTCTCTTTCTCTCTGTCTTCTTTCCTTCTCCTTCTCTTTATCGTTCCCTTTCTCTTTCCCTTTCTATCTCTTTGTCTTTCTCCTTTTTTGTTGTTTCTCTTATTACACCTTTCTTAAATAAAAAGTTTGAGGTGCAAAAGGTAGCGCAATCAACATGCTGAACACCCATTCACTACAAGTACTACAAGTAAGTACTACAAATTTTACAAGATATTACAAGTACTACAAGTAATTACTACAAGTTTTCACCGGCGAAAACACCATTTTATACCATTTCAATTAGTTTTCGACTGTGGCCAATGAAAATCCTTGCTTAAATGTACGGTTGCATTTTGTCTGGGGAACTGATATTTGACAATTTTCTCCAAAAAGAGTAATTATAACATTTGTTTGCGGGGGGAACACACAAATCAGCACGGAACATTAAGGCTATATAATACTATTCATCCAGTCGGCTTTCCCAGTGTCTGCATTTTACCGAAAAATGGCAACGGTTTAACCAACTCACCTCATCTTGTGTTGCCTAAACTATAATATAAAGTATATGTTTAACTATGATTTTGATTGGTCTTATCATGGTTTAATATAGTTTTACCGTTTTACCATGTTTTACCGGGCCACCATGGCCACCATGTTTCTGGTCCAGCGTCCTGCGCTGCTTGGAACCCAGCTCCAAACGAGGCGGGTCGTCAGCGGGAGCTGGCAAGCGCGGCAAGTCACCAGTTTCCGGAAACAGAGCCAGGCCGATGCTGCTGCTGCGGTGCGAAACCGGGCTGACAGGGGTGATGGGGCTCTTCACCGCCATAGGAAAAACCGCTGGAAACCCGCGGGTCGAAACTACGGTGGTTTGGGTGTCAATTCCTGTCAGAACTGAATGTGTGTGAATTAGGTGCAGGTGTTTTGCGAGAAATCGCAGGTCAACATGAGAAAACTTCAGAAAAATCAACTGCAACTGATTGAAAATCGCAGCTGTGGCCACATTTCCACTACACATCCGATGAGCTCGCTGAGCCAGATTCCCAGCTCGAGCTTCAAACTGCGGCGTTGGCTCCGCAAGTTGCGGTGTGGAGAACTGTGAAAACGTTTGCGGTTGGTTGGTGGGATTCCTAGGCGAATTATGACAATCCTGAAAATACAAATACAAAGGGTAGGTCGGTAGGTTAATAACCACCCACTACCCGGTATGTCCCCATTGTTGATGGTTAAATATCCAATTTGATGGTCACATAACCCTATCTTATATACAGTAATATGTATCAACCAATCGAGGCTCTTAAAACTGCTCAGTTCCCATCAAGTTGAAATAATTGTGCCACTAATCCTCAACATCAACATCCCCACGTCGGTTGGTACAAAAAATCATTGAAACACAATAATATACAATAATATGTGTTTCATATCCACATATTTGTTGCTAATTGTGTGACCTGTCAGTTATGTAATGTGGACACACCACTCCCAGTTGAATCACTAATTGCATTTGAAAGGTAGTTTGATGCATTGACCTGTAACTGTTATCCAGCTAGGCCAGCTATGCAATCGAAGCATCATTCGAATGTGACGTGACAGTGCGGTCACAACAGAATTCAACCAAATGTAATGTTACTTGGATGGAAGAAACTTAGGATCTGCCCTCATTTCCAACCAAATTTTCCTGGGAAGTGGATTGCCGCCAAAGTTTCTTCCCTGCTGGGTACCCCAGTGCTTTAGTGGGAGATACCCTCCGGTAATCAAACATGACAATTGGAAATCACCTCTGATGGAGGTTTTAATCTGGTTGGTGGTTGAGCCCCACCTCTCTGAAAAATATGAAAGTCAAATGGGATTATGACGTTCCCAAGATATGGAAAAAAAAATATATATATATATAATGTTCCAGACCACCAACCAGATTATCATCTATAAATCACCAACCATTTCCAACATAACTATGGAAAATCACAATTTTCAATGGGTAAATCCACTATAAACGGAGGTTTCTAGCTGGGAAAACCAACAAACAAAAAATGGGAGATGTTCCAATGCCGGGTTTGATCACCGGAGGCTGATCCCATCCCCATTCAGAAATTCAACACCCTACTTGGTGGCTCATCCCACTTAGTAAGTGGGTTATAACCCCAGTTATAAATGGGATAAGTAGGGTTAATCCACTTATAACTGGGGTTATAACCCACTTACTAAGTGGGATGAGCCACCAAGTATTCTATGATGTCTTGGGGCTGTTGAAGATGAATGGGGAAGTGGAGTGGATTTTCTGTATCCGGGCTTGCATCAATCTGACACAAAAATTCACATCCCTCTTCAGGGACCTTTGTCCCAAGACTCCTGTGATTTAGAGCATCACAATTCAAGGATGATGGTCATGACCCTGATCAAGTTGCGATATTCCCTTCTGAAGACAAACCCAGAGGCCGGGCCGTTATCCATGGGTGAAATCCTCATGATGCTTAAGTCCCTACATTTTGGTTTTATGGTCCCTACATGGTTTGACATCTACTCTCTGGCAATCAAATGTGGCAATTGAAAATCCATGCGCTAGATGAAGGTTTTAAAAGTAACATCAGCTACAGCCACCTCCAGGGCAAACAGTTGGTATTTGGAGTGCAGTAGGATTGACGCGCTTGCTGGGACGGCGCTGTGACTGTGCGACGTTGCGGTGAAAACAAAGACTCAGCGAATGTGGATTGTAAGGTATTGAATGTTGGGTATGGGATTTGGAGCGTGCTTTGACATATAGATACTGTTTGAAACGTCTTCTCTTTATATATATATATATATACATAGATATGTTAAATGTTAACATATGCAACTATTAACCAATATATTATCAATGTTAAATATTTTCATGAAACGCGTTTCTCGGCAGCCTCGGCAGCCACCTGCGGGTTCCCAGCGGGCTTCCCACCTCTGTTGAGCTTCATCTTGGTTTGTAGCAATTCTGTCCTGAGACTCTCCGCCTCCTGTGGGAAGTGATTTGGTCATCCACGGAGTCCACGGGGTTCCCGGAGTCCACGGGGCGAACCGGGTTTTGATCGCTGGTGTTTTGATAACTCCTGAAGTGTATCTTTTTGTCACCGGGTTTATGATAGATATTAATGATATATCATGATCTATTGTAGATATGGCAAATGGGTGAGCATAATAAATAGTGCTTAAGTCTATATATAGTTACTATGGCGACTAGTAGTCATAACCTCAACTGCACCCCTAAGTAGTCCCCTGTAATTATTATAGAAATGACAAATGGAACATATGCTCAAAGGATGGTAACAGGAAAGAGGGATTCCCATGGATGAGAATCCCTAATGCTAATGTTTTTTTTGTAATGTAGTGGGAAGATTTGAGTCGAATAATCATCACCAAAAATCCCACCAAGTTTATTGAAACTGCAGTTTTGTCACTTATAACATAACTTGGTTCCAACCCCACTTACTAACCAGGTAGTCTCTGAGAGATCTTCAAACAGCATAGCTGACAAATGACTCGGACTCCAAGATCTAGACTGGAAGCAAGGCGAAACTCGAGCGATCCCCTAAAACAGTCTTTGACTACGTGCGCAAAAGGCATTTTTCGTATCTCCGTAAGTACCATCTGGATATTTAACATGGCCATGGAAAATCACCATTTTTAATAGGTAAACCATCTATAAATGGGATATGTTCATATATTTTCCACGGCTATGTTAGTCATAACCAGAGGCTACCCTCCGGTTTTTTCAAACGGCCACTGTGATTTCTAGCAAATCACGGAACTCAGAGGATTTTCCAGCCACGGAACTGATTACCTGCAGGGTGCAACCAAAAGGGGTGTCATCAGCTCCATGGGTTGCTGGAAAATCCACCAGTACTGGGTCCATGGACAATTTCCAGATTTTTTCGCCATGGAAATGTTCATTACTCCAGAAAAACCCTCTGGTAAACATACAAAAAACGATGGAAACTCACCATTTTTAATGGGAAAATCCACAAACTAAATCACCAGTTTCAATAGCTTTTTGTATGTTTACTAGAGGGTATATCCCATTAATATCCCATTGAATGACTATAAATTCCCATTAAATCACTATAAACCACTATCAATTTATAGTTATATCATGCAATATCCTATCCATATCTATGCATCCTATAAAGGATGACTGGATATGACTGGATGACGGGGATTTCCCCGTTAAGGCTTTGATGCTTTGATTCATTGAGGTGCAGGATAGGAAGGTGTTGGTCCAGCCTGTATACTGCGGCCCACTGTGAGAAACTTAGGGGAAATCTACAGTCGAAACTCAGTGGTTTTTGGAAGAACAGGTTTGTAAAGCTATAGGTGGTATACCTACCCCTCCTAAAAATATGAAAGTCAGTTGGGATTATTATTCCCAACTGAATGGAAAAATAAAATTCATGTTCCACACCACCAACCAGCTATAGCATTCGGATTCTTAATTTTGGGGCCCTTGTTTGAGGGGGGAGGGTTGCATATGTTCGCTCTAGAAACGAGGTGTACGGACAATGATGATACACGATTGGATTATGGGGTATCCATGCAGGGGTATCTTATGCTTTGACTCGACAAATGCAGGTATATTATATTTATATCATGTACCCTCTGGTAAACATACAAAAACCTATTGAAAATGACCATAGAAATAGTGGATTTACCCATTAATAGCATGGTGATTTTCCATAGTTACGTTAGTTTACCAGAGGGTAATATATGAGGATATGGACGTGGTCAGTCTTGCTCTTGCACATCCCGCAAAACGTCAATTCTGCAAGGTGACACCATGACACCCCCCTAGTCAAAAGTTGGTGTACAAATCCCATAAATATCTGGGCAAAGTATAATAATTCACTAACCTGAATAGTTCGACCATTTTGGGATGATTCCCCATATGTACCTTCTGGTAAACTAACATAGCTATGGAAAATGGCCCATAGAAATAGATGGTTTACCTATATTATTTTAATGGTGATTTTCTATAGCTATGTTAGTTTACCAGAGGGTAAACCATGATTCCAGGTTTCGGGAGAAGGTTCGCAACAGAAATTGCCAAGATGAATATCCCCCATGAACACGGGGCCCTCACCTTGTGCTAGGAACTATCCATCTGGTTCCTTTCCCCGTACAGAAAAAAAGGGGTGATGTAACAAAAAAAAGTGGTGCCCCATAACTAAGTGAGTGAAGATAATTCCACAATAACTAGTGTATATGGTAGATATATGAATCTATCCTGGTATATAGTTACTATGGTTTATTAACCAACTTATACCTGCAAAAACACATTGTACCAGCGCTGAACAACAGGTCCTGTAGGGCTTCGCTATCCTTGGCAAGTCGATCATCCCCAACCCGGAAAAAAGGCTGTCCATATGTGAAGGGATAAATGCAAAATCAGTGCCTTAATAGAGATTAATGGGATTTTATAGTGATTTAATGGGATTTTATAGTGATTCAATGGGATATTAATGGGATATACCCTCTGGTAAACTAACACAGCTATTGAAAATGGCCATTTATAGTGAGTTTTCGCATTAATAGCATGGTGATTTTCCATAGTTATGTTAGTTTACCAAAATCAGTACCTCTGCTCTCCAAGAGTTTTCATGGTTTCTATCAGCTATCTAAATTAGATAAGAGTAGTGATGTAGTTTTTAGGTTTACGTGAGGCTTATGAAAGGGAATATCCCCAGAACATATAGCCTAATATGGTAAGTACCTTCATGTTATGGTCCTGAATTTGCATCGCAAAAAAAAAGTGTTTGCAGATTGTAACTTATATCCATCTACAACTTTAACCCATGGTGCTCGTATATC